AGAGTGGGTGTTATATAATGAGTGAGGTAATTAGAAACAGCTGTGTGAAATGAGTGCAATCAGGGCAGTGTGCAAATTGTGCAAAGAATGATGGGAAATGTAGTCCGGGGTGCTATGCAACAGTTTGTGTAGTGCGAGAGTCAATGTAATGGAAAGGGTGACATCTGGTGGTGAATAAACGGAAGTCCATGAACCAAAATCGTGACACTGACATTCTCGAGTATGTCATTTGCTTTGCACAAACCAAACTAAAAAACACCTTGGTAGTGTCATATTGATTTTATAAAACAGTTCAATAAACAATAAGTTAACATTTTTGACACAATACTGTTAATATTTTATCAACATAAACTTTTGTTGAACACCGCAGAACTGTTTTGTGTGTCCGAGCAACTCATAGTTGTGCTTCGTTACTGAATGAATCATTTGACTGAATGATTCAATGACTCAATCATTTCACCTTTCTAAAATTAATTCAGTTTAAGGATGCACATATTGGCTTGAAAAGTTTATAAAGCAGCTGAGATACCAGTGCAAAACACACACTCGGCAAAATATTTTCTAATTATCATCATCGGGAAAAAAAAAAGTTGAGCTGTCATGTGTGACCCTGGAGCACAAAACCAGTCATAAGGGTCCATTTTTCGAAATCGAGATGTATGCATGAACATGATCTTTACTTAATATCCTAATGATTTTTGGCATAAAAGAAAAATGTGTAATTTTGACCCATACAATGTATTGTTGGCTATTGCTACAAATATCCCCCAGCGACTTAACACTGCTTTTGTGCTGCAGGGACACATATGTGTGAATATCACACACTACTATTATGTAGTTTTTCTTCTCAAGTAAATCTATCTTGATTTAAGAATTTTTAGACATTTGCACTTGGGGGGGGGGGGGAACACAAACACTGATGAAGAAGAACAAGACCTTTTTTTTCAGCGTGATCAGAAGGTACAGTAATATTTATTTCCAGAAAAAAATAATAAAGATCTGTTGGAAGTTATATCTTCAAACTTTGAAGCTACTGCAGCATATTGTTTGCTTTAGAGAACATATGACGTATTATGTTCCCTTCAAATTATTCCTTACATATTCTTTACTTGGTCTTGAAAAGGTCTATTGAATTTACCTTCACAAAACCCTGGATTAAGCTCTAGTAACATTACTAGATAACCAGAGGCTCTATGAACAACCTTGCATTGTAGAAGCCCCTGCACAGACTTTGCTTTTCAGGTCTATTATCAATATTGAGGTCTTGGGATCAGCTGGTGCACAAATTGTTCAAAATAAAAAGGGGGAACAGAGGAAAGGAATATACAGTATGGGGGTAACAGCAGAGTGAATCAAAGTTCTTTAAAGTAGCTAAATATAGTGCTTTTATTTTGTCTTCAGGTCACCAACAAAATGGCATGTGCGCTACACCTCGAGCTAGAGCAGACTGCATCTTGGGACACGGCAGCCCTGTGCTCACGCTGTATAGAGAGGTGTTCTTCCTCACCGGCGTAGTCAGCCAGACTTCAGGGACCGACTGCAAGAATGGCTAAGTCTTACAGAAAGTGTCTCGCTTTTTGCCATGGTTAAACACATTCATGCGAACGCAGTGAAAGAGGAAAGAATGAATATACAGTATACAATTTTGTTTTAGTTAACATTGCCATTGTCTCCACTTGTACACAGAGCAGGTTCTTATGGTATTGCACACAACAAATTAGAAACATTAGAAAAAGTTGGAGTACATGTGGGGGGTATTCCAGAAAACAAGGTTAACTTACTGTCACATGTACCCTGAACTTACTCGGGGTATGTCTGTTCCAAAACACCTGTGAAGAGTTATTCAATCATCCTCCTACTGGCCATCCACACAGTGAGTACTTACAAGATCACTGATTTTAGGAGATGCACCATACTGTTTTTCTTCTTCTTTTGTTAAATGCCAAGTTAACTGATCAGATTTGTGCTGTTGGTCCTGAACTTTTCCTGCGGTAGATTACAGTAGCAGAGACGGAAAACGTTTTCACATTCTGATTACGAACACATTTTGTTTAATAACATGCACTGATTAATCTTTCAGAGTAACACAATGAATGTGTAATAAAGGGGTCTTGATGCATATTGTTTTTAATTATTGAAGTTCTCTGACTTATGGCATATATATGGATTTTTTGTTGTACCAAAACACTCCTAAATTAGACATACAGTATATGACCATTGTATTACTAATTGACCATGAGTAGTGCAGATGGAATAAACAAGAAACTAAAACCAATTAGAGCTTGCTTTCTTTAGGCATTCTTTAAGCTTGACTTTGGAAATAATTGCACCAACAAGAACTGATCATCTGCATGGCTGTGTTTAGCAATAATAGGAACAACTATTCAGAAATATGTAAACAAGTGATGTTAGGTAACCTTGACTATGCATTTTATCATACATAATGGTGTGACTCTTTGCCATAAATAAAAAATAATATTGAAAAAGAGTCTTCAGATGCGGGTACACACTCACACATCTCAATGACACCCTTACGATGTCCATGCTGGCAAGTAACAACGGTATGAGCGGGATAATGCCTTCCTTAAACATCAACATATATCAAACTCCAATATTGGATGACATTGCTTGGTGTTCTAAATGAATGTATTTTGTCAAGTGAAGTTACCTTCAATAGATTTTCTCTGCTTAGTGAATCCACCTTATCTTGAAAGTAAGAGTGAGCGCTGCCATTGTTTTACTTAAATATGCAAAGCTTCCCAACGTCAGTCTCTTTCTGTTATTTTAGCAGCTTGACGATGCAAACTTATATGTAGTACCATTAGATTAGATTCAACTTTATTGTAATTTTGCAGAGTACAAGTACAGGGCCAATGAAATGCAGTTAGCATCTAACCAGAAATGCAAATAGCCAATGTATATAAATAAGCGTAAATTATTCACCCTTCGTAGGCAGCGTTTGAGTTAAGTGTCTTTGATGGAGGGTAGCTGAACACCAGTGATGTAATAACATGATGTGATGTTTTTTTAGAAGTAATAACTTGTGACGTGCCAGACGTAAACATTACTGATTCAGTCCCAGAGTTCATCACCCTCTATGACTCCGCCCACCTGAAGGGTCCCTTGCCTTGTTTCTGCTCTCTCATTGGCTGCAGGTATATGACTCCTCCCCTGAACATTCCCTTGCCCTGTAGCTGCTCTCTCATTGGCTGTAGGTCTGTGACTCCTCCCCCTGAACATTCCCTTGCCCTGTATCTGCGCTCTCATTGGCTGTAGGTCTGGGAAGACGTAAACATTACTGATTCAGTCCCAGAGTTCATCACCCTCTATTAAATTATTGAAAATGTATCATTCTTGGTAATGCACAAATCTCTATAATGAGTGTTTAAACTTGTTTTTCTCAGTTGTTGTTATTTATTTATGTTTCCTAATCTATTTATTTGGAAATATTACAGTGCCACCTTCTGGCGGAATCACGCAAGGACACAGTACCTCTGCCAAAAATGCTCAGCAAAAATAATGTAAAATTTGCAATAGATTAATCATAATTGCTACGACCCAAAATCTTCCCTACCTAAATGTACCTATAAATATAATGCAGTGAAAGTTAAATTCCCTTGCCCTGTATCTGCTCTCTTATTGGCTGTAGGTCTATGACTCCTCCCCCTGAACGTTCCCTTGCCCTGTTTCTGCTCTCTCGTTGGCTGTAGGTCTATGGCTCCTCCCCCGAACTTTCCCTTGCCCTGTTTCTGCTCTCTCATTGGCTGTAAGTCTATGACTCCACCCCCTAAACCAGAGCTGTTGAGAGATGACAACTCCATTCACTCCAATGGACCAGTTTTTTACAGCAATGGTGGATCGTGGAGCCGCTCAATAGTTCCCGGAATTTAGCGCTAATACTATCAGCGCCGTAGAGATGCAGCAGAAGATACCTTAGGCTTCCTCTGGCCACGGAGACTTGGGGCAAAAATGCCACTAAGTTGGACAAAAATGCCTCTGCACAAACAAATCAAATCTATTACGTCGGTTGCTAACAATGTGAATATGAATAGACAGTGTCGATTGCGGCATTAAATTAAGATCTGCTCATGTTGCACCGTATTTCATTACCTTGTGCATTAAAATAGATTATTATTAGCTTATTCCTCACTAAATTAGTAGATTTAGGGGAAATTATTAATTATCGTCATGCAGTTGCATTCATTGTTGTGTAATTAAGTTTTTTAAATGTGATTTTTGCTGCTGGGGAGTTAAATATTAGAATTAGATTGATTACAAAGGATGCTGATGGACCTAAGTGAGAATGAAAAGTTTAAAACAGGTGAGCAGTAAACTAAAGCTGTACTTTATTACTGTATTTTATACTTAAACATCTTAGCTACTGTGGAGGAGGAGCAGTGATGCCACAGGACTGATATGCGATGGAGCATCACTTAACCATCTCTCCTGTGTTTTTCTCCTTCTCTATCTTTCAGAGCAAGAACCACATGAAGACTCCCTCTAATGAGACATCACAGAGTCTGAGCTCACTGGGTTTTGCAAGACTTTCCCAGTTCTTTGTGTCTTTGTGAAAAAGTGCACATTCCCAAGTATGATTACATCACATTTTGTTGGTGTAACCTATAGCTCAGTATATTTAGATTGCTCCTGCCGACTATATCCAGCCTCTTATCGAAGACTTCAGATGACCAGCACCTGTGAAGAGAGGCCTTCAGATGACCAGCACCTGTGAAGAGAGGCCTTCAGATGACCAGCACCTGTGAAGAGAGGCCTTCAGATGACCAGCACCTGTGAAGAGAGGCCTTCAGATGACCAGCACCTGTGAAGAGACGCCAACTCTGAGCTAACATGTAAAACTGCCAAATTTTCCTTGCATTGTAATCAACATGATCACATCATGTAATCATTGCTTTAATGTGTTCATTGTTTCTGCTCACGTACATGATGTTAACTAACTGCATGAGTTGCACTGCCTCATTTTTAGAACATTTCTGCATTTCTTCTCACAGTTACTCCTGACAACACAACCCATGTAATGTAGAAACATTCCTTTTCTGTAAAGCTGATTTGAATCGATGTGCTATACCAATAAATGTGAATTTAATAAATCTTGAAGCATCTTTTTTCTCTCTCTTCTCCGCATCAGTAGGGAAACCATACTACTTTCTGTGAGTGACAGGAGCATGCCCATGCAGCACAGCAAACTATGGTGGAGACTATACAAGGACAACACGCTTTTCAGTGTATTATTAATGTATAAATTAATACTGTAAATAAGTGCACAAGTCTTTAACAAGTTTTTAATACATTTAAACATATTTTAAGCTGTCTTAAATGTGAATATACTATGAATATATTTATATATTAACAACTGAGGGGTGCGCAAGAATCAAAAACATTAAACGAGATTAATTTTTCACTTAATTTCATCTTGAAATTCACTTATTGGGAATGATTTTTCCGACTTGGCTCAGATAGCATCTTTGTTATCACACACTATGTTATTGTCTCTCACGAACGAGCACCGATTTACCTCCAATTTCAAGCATTTGTCGCAATTATCACAAAATTGTCAGCGATTGAAAATCGGGGCTGAAATCGTGTGTGTGCCCGGCGTAAGCTGTCACGTTTGTGTTTAAAACATCCTGCAATAGAACTTAATCAGGTTAGAGGAATAGATTCATTTAAGGCGGATGAAAGCTGCGAGAGATTTGTCTTTACGATAGAAAATATAGCGTCATCGTCACTTACAACTTTCAAAATAGTTTTTCTCTCTCTCTGTAAGAGCGTTGTTAAACAAAAGCACATTCCACTGAGCGCACTGTACTTCAGCTCCTCACAGCCTGGTCTTTATTCCCGGGGAAATTTAAATATGGCGCCACCCTGACGAAGGTCTAGTACTTTCATGTAACTTCTACTTAATATCCGTCAACGTTACAATGTTACAACATTCTTAAAGTATATTCAAAGTGAGAAAAAACTGCTCCTTTTGTGACAGAATGTTTGATTATTGAAGATATTTTTGGGGGGAATGTGTTTATGTCAAAACGTGTTTTTATTATTATTTTTATTCATTTCAACACAAACCCTTCAGGGCATTTATTTGATTAATTTATTAATAAACTTATTGATAATTTATCATTCTTGGTAATGCACAAATCTCTATAATGAGTGTTTAAACTCGTATCAGTGTTTTTCTCAGTTGTTGTTATTTATTTATGTTTCCTAATCTATTTATTTGGAAATATTACAGTGCCACCTTCTGGCGGAATCACGCAAGGACACAGTACCTCTGCCAAAAATGCTCAGCAAAAATAATGTAAAATTTGCAATAGATTAATCATAATCATAATCTTCCCTACCTAAATGTACCTATAAATATAATGCAGTGAAAGTTAAATGTATATTGCAATTTATAACCCACACAACTATCACAGACACACTATTACATGACATTCTTAGTTAATCTGGACAAACTGTTTATCAATAGAAGGATTTAGAAATCTAGCTTCAATATTTCACCACTATGTATGATAAAAAAAAATGGATACAGCGACAGTTTGAGTGCAAAATCAACATATCATCTTAACACTGATTAAGTCTAGATGCTTGCGTACTTGTTCTTTGAGTTGTTGCTACAAATTTTGTCAATTTAGAAGTAGTTTTTACTGAATCATGATTTCTTCATTAAAACGTTTGTATGCTGGTTTCACATACACATTTCTGTATACACTTTTTTATATATATATATATATATATATATATATATATGTACAGTAACCGTAAATGACATTTTGAAGTAGTCAAGATAAACTTTGGTTAAATTAACATTTTATTCAACAATATATACACAACAACTCCTAAGCATTTAATACTGTTGCTCTGAGCAAGGTGCATGGTAAACTTTGATTTTTAACACAATATAGTGCAATATAGCAACAGGCTTGTGTTATAGTATTTAATGTATATTGTGTACACAATGAGCAATCCAGTCATTTCTATAGAGCAGTGAAAACAACGCATGCTCTTTGCCATCACAGCTATCTATATGTGGCCGCGCTCTTTCAGATTCTCAACCACTGTCTAGTGCAGGAGCCGTAATCGGATAGGGTCTGTGTCCAGTGGTACTTTATACTGGATAAAACTGAGCTTTTTGGTTCCCTGAACCATTTCCAGACGAACAATTTGTTTGTGGTGAGTAGCCTTGATTTAATATAAAAAGCGTTGTTAATACAACTACATATGCTGAGTGAATAGCATTGCATTATCTGACAGGAGATGGGTCACATGCACTCTGCTGACTCCCATTGGTAGTCGCTCCCAAAAGTCGCTTTTCTCAATTTTGTTGCATTGCTGGACACGCCTAATTCTGGTTGCCAGCTCTTCAGTGAAAGTCAATGGCATCATGGCGTTTTGCTGCTGGTGGTGTGAACTGGGCTTAACTCACAAGGTTAATTGATCCACAGAGTGAAGATATAATTGATGTGGCATGCAAATGAGTGATAGAAAACTAATTGTGCAAATCGCCATTTCAAATTTTGTGACGCCCATACCTCAATCCTCCATTGGTCTAAATCAGTGGTTCCCAACCATGTTCCTGGAGACTCCAGCACTACACATTTAGCATGTCTCCTTTGTCTGACACACCCATTTCAGGTCTTTTATGCTCTACTAATGTGCTTATGACCTGAATCAGACCACTGGTCTAGATGAAGCTTTGACAGGGCCAAATAATTTCTGCCTATTTTGGCAGTATTTGAAAAGTTACGTGCAAGCTGAAGTTCAGGATAGAGGTTGGCGGTGGTATGAAGAACTGAACATTATGTGCATGCAGAACTTGGCAGTTTGTGAGTCACTAAAAGATGCAAGAGCCATTTTAAGCAGCTGGACAGTTTTATGTTTTGATAGGTCAAAGGTTTTGTCAAAACCTTTTCAAAAATAGCGTGAATTGTAGTCTTTCAGTATGTGTGGGAACTTAGTTAAGCAACCATGCTTTTTTCTTTTATTTCGGACCATCTTTGTTTCGAACTTGCTCACAAATTGCACTGCAATCATTTTCCAAATTGTGTGGAAATATTAAGAAAGTGTGTAAACGGGATGTTAACGGGGGTCAGAGATGGAATGCAAAATACTGTACACGGCAGACCAAGATCACTGTTTGAGATGCGCAAAATATTGAAGGACAGTTCTAAATATTGAGTGTGGGGGGTTACATTTTTAAAGAATGTTTCTCTGAAGGGAACTGACTGTCTTTAGAAAAGATGTGCTGAGATTTTAATTTCATCTTACCTCTGTGTAGACCTGGTTTGTGATAACCAAGGAAACACTATATTGCTGCTATTCCATAAGCGCCACCTGCTGTCAGAGAGTGAATTTGCATTTTTAACATAATTTGAGAAAGCTGAAGTCAGACCATTTTTGCTTTAAATATTATGATTATACAATCTAGTTTAAATAAATAAAAGACTGCTCATGCTACATGACTTTAGCATATTTGTTTGGATCGTGATTATGCAGCGATTGCCTCGAATTTTAAATGGCTACATATTTATTCATTTTTTGTCTAAGGCCAGTTTAGCCTGTAATACAGCAAGTAAACATCTGGTTCATGTGCTTTTTTATTCTTTCTTGTCTCTTGCTTAAAGCAAAGAGGCTTTTGGAATAGACTATTGGAAACTAGCTTGTAAAACAACTGGAATCAGCCATTAAAAATCATGATTGGTGCATCCCTAATTTTTGCCTTTGAACAAGAATGGCTCTGGTGCTATTTTAAAGATATTATCTTGCTAATGACTGAGAAATACACCTCCTAAAAGTCGTGCGAATGGACAATTTAATTGTGAGTGAATAAATTTAACGCCTCACGATCTCTTGAAAGGATATGTCAGGCCAATTTTGGTTTTAGTCAGAAAAGCCCAGGCTTGCATGATGAAGCCTCAGTGCCAGCCATGCAGCAGAACTGGTGAGAGCTGGATCCTTGTTATGTAACAGGAGTCGTCGAAAGCAGCACAAAAGAGTGGGAGCGGACTGGACGGGGGTGCTTTCACAAGCCTGTCGCAGGAGCGGGCAAAGCATGCCTTTCATCGCACACATCCACGTCCACTCTGAATGTGAACAAGGGGCGTAGCTTGACACAATCAATCCCGAAACACCGCCAGTCACTGCGGTTTCTCTGTTTGCATGCTATCGCACACTTGCAGTGTGCTGCAGCTGAAGAGGGAGACACATAACTTATATATTCATGACGTCTATGGTGCTTCACTTGGGTTGAATGAATGTGTGGCCGCTCGGTTGCAACGTTAGTAACAAGCAATTAATAAAATGTGATGTGCATCGCTTTAGTTGTGGCCAAAAACCTCTGATTCATGTGGAAGGGATGTTTTTGCTTTTTATTATATTATATAATGCTCACTACATGGTCGCTTTGTCTCTATTTCTGCAACACAGACACTGAAAACGTATTGAAGCGAAGCACCGTTCCTCTTGTGTATTACATTTCAAACATCTCTGCATCACAGAAATCATGAAAATACAAAGTATTTGTTCTTCTGCTGAGCATAAGAGTGTGTGTTAGAGCAGTGCTGTTGAAGAGCTGAGGATGGGCGAACACCCCCCACGTCTCTTTCTGCCTCTTGCTGTTTCCATGGCAATCACTGCACAATTACTCATGACATCAGCGCTTCCCTTTTTTCCCACACAGTGGAATGACATGAATCCTACTTTTAAATCAAGTAGCAAGATGTATTTGGTTACTTTTGTGTGTGTGTGTGTGTGGTTTTATTGACTTGATTCATCTGCCTTTTTTAAAGGGGTCATGCATTGAGAAATTTTATTTTACTTGATCTTTTGACTAGGGATGTGCGCGACGACTAATTTGACTGACGTTTAAACAAAAGTTTTGTATCCGACTAGTCTAAAAGCAAGAAACCCCCAAAAGATGGTAAGAAAAAACCCCTCTGTGCGAGCGTGTAGCATATATAATAGCCTATATTTGAAATACTTAATCTATGAATCACACTGTCAAATCCCTCAATGGATTGTGCTTGCCGCACACTTGCCTCGTGTTATCATCAGTTCATTTTAGGCGGTCGTTAAAAAGAGTATACACTCAACGTCGGCCAAAGCATAGCTTATTTATTCAAATCAGCCGGGGAAATGCAGAACAATGGAAAATCAATCAATAGCCTGACAGAATCTTCATCTTCATGTAACGTTAGCCAACATATTAAAACACAAGTCAAAAACAATAGGAAGGTTTATCAAGAGATAGCATTAAAACGGCTTTTAAAAACGTACTTCTTGTTGGCTATATCGTCTAAAAGCAAAATGCAACAATGCCCATTTTACTTACTCGGACCATGCGTTATTTGTTCAGTGAAGTTATCAACGTGGTCTGGTTAAAGACGGGACCTGAGGCGATTAACAGTAAAGTTCCTGCACTTGAAAAAACGCGAGGTTTATCAAGAGATAGCATTAAAACGGCTTTTAAAAACGTACTTCTTGTTGGCTATATCGTCTAAAAGCAAAATGCAACAATGCCCATTTTACTTACTCGGACCATGCGTTATTTGTTCAGTGAAGTTATCAACGTGGTCTGGTTAAAGTACGGGACCTGAGGCGATTAACAGTAAAGTTCCTGCACTTGAAAAACCACGCTCGGCAGGAACTGAAGTCGCCGGCACGCAGAGATAACAAAAAGCAAGCCGATAGAGTTTCAGAAAGCGCCTGGACGTCCCGCACCAGCACCGAAGTGGGTGTTCGTTAGAGGAACAGACGGCGCGGACGGGATTGACATTAGCTGGCTTTGGCTAGCCTCTTAAGCTAACGCCTACGTGCCTGTATTGAATATGATTACGCATCGCTCCAGTAGTTATTGTAAGTCAATTTGACATTACACAGTTTACTCACAACTTTTCCGTTTCCTTCTAATTCAAAATAATCCCACACCTTCTCGTCTTTCGCATGGTCATTTTTGAACTCTCCGCAACTGGCGCGAAGAAAACGCATGTGAGGTCTGAGGTACAAATGTAGTTTTCGCCAAGATACACTTTTCAAAATAATGTATTATTTTTCAAACGTTTTATTTTAACTTATTTAAAATGTTTTAAATGCAATGTTAAAATGACGGTAATTTGAATGATAAAATCATGTTTTTGTTTAGTTTTTTCTGTCGTGTAATCGACTATTGTTTTCAGTGTCGACTAGTAGGAGCTGTACCGTTTAGTCGACTAGACCCGCACATCCCTACTTTTGACACATAAGTTATATTATATATATATATATATATATACACGTTATACTATAAACACTTTGTTTGTCCAAAAACATTTTATTGAAACCAACTTGCTAAAATAACTAATTTTCTACTTGCTTTACTTTTCTGCTTCAGAAACAGATCAACAGTGGCGTAGTTGTTTTAATGATGGTTTAGTTGCCTTTTTAAACACCAGCTGACCTTTAAAAATGAGAAAGAAAAGAGTCTTGGACATTAATCCCCGCACCCCACTAAATTAATGTTTAAATGAATCATCAAATAAATGAGGATTTATAGAATATGCTAAATAGATATGCATATGTGACGGATAATTTCCTGATTATAAATGAAGCCCACTATGAATAGAGGAATAACTGCATCTTTAAGCACAATAATTGCATTAACATTTTGTAATATACTATGTGATTCTACATTTGGTGTACATTTTCACTGTTGTCCATGGCAATGCTGTATCTCTTGATTCACTCATACAATCAATAAATTAAACTGACAATGTTTACAGCAGTCAGTGTACGTTCTCCAATTTTATAAAAACTTAATGACACATTTATGGATGATAATTCAGAAATGTGAACATGGCAGGATGATCATTCTTAATTTAACATGTGCATTTGTTTATTCAATCTTGCATGCGCTGCGTGTACGTGCATGTGTTGATTTTTGCTCATTGTTTTTAGCACATTACAGCGTGTTTTAGATAAGCATATGAAGGGATAGTGAAGCATATAATAAGACTAAGCACTACAGAAATGCACAATGCTATATCAGTGAGCCAACATGTAAAAATGCTATCAATAACTGAATCATGAATATTTTATCTGCCTTTCGGTACACACACACACAATTTAAGGCTTGTCAGTAAACATTATAAAATTGTTTACGTACAGTTTGTGATGGAGCTGCTGTCAGATCCAATTCAGCTGGCTCTTTCAACAGAAGTTTCTTTGCAAACTCTCCATTACACTGAATTTGTAAGAAATTGAACTGGCATCTGTACACTGTGTCCAGTGTAGACAGCGTCAGTGATTATAATGGGCTCTATTTGCTTTTGACGCAATGCTCATACTGTAAAGCAACTGATGGCAAGTTTTGTTTTGTTTTTTACGTGAGGAGGACATTTTAAAGGGGCCATGACATGAGAAATCAAATTTGCCTTGATCTTTTGACATATGAGAAGTCTTTGTACCATTAAACCATCCTACAAGTTTCATAACTTAAAATGTCCTCATTATAAACAAAGCATTAATTTAAGCAAGTGCTGAAAATGGCTCGTTTAATTGTTGGAGATTTGTGACGTCACATGGGCAAATTCATTTGCATATGACCGCCTCCAGAGCAAGACAATGACGAATAGTTATACACCGTTTACACTATAGGCCCCGGCCACTGGTGTTAAGTCACTTAATGGTCTTTCGACTTTAGCTGTCCCCATTTGACAACACATTCAAAACAGCCTGCAAAAAAGCCTGACCAACATAGCCTGCTGGTTACCAGAGCAATCGTGTAGTGATCATTTTCACCACCCGATCCAGTCTGTATCCAGATCAGATGGTGGATCAGCACCTAGAGATGACCTCTACAGCCCTGAAAGACAGCAGAGATCAGGACAACTAGATGAGCCCCAGAGACAGATCCCCTGTAATGACCTTGTCTCAGACGACCACCGGGACAAGACTACAGGAACCAGATGAGTCCTCTGCACAATCTGACTTTGCTGCAGCCTGGAACTGAACTGCTGGTTTCGTCTGGTCAGAGGAGAACTGGCCCCCCGACTGAGCCTGGTTTCTCCCAAGGTTTTTTCTCCATTCTGTCACCGATGGAGTTTTGGTTCCTCTGGCTTTCTTAGTTGGGGACACTTAATATCCAGCGATATCATCGACTTGATTGCACAGACACTATTTAAACGCTCGGCAGGAACTGAAGTCGCCGGCACGCAGAGATAACAAAAAGCAAGCCGATAGAGTTTCAGAAAGCGCCTGGACGTCCCGCACCAGCACCGAAGTGGGTGTTCGTTAGAGGAACAGACGGCGCGGACGGGATTGACATTAGCTGGCTTTGGCTAGCCTCTTAAGCTAACGCCTACGTGCCTGTATTGAATATGATTACGCATCGCTCCAGTAATTATTGTAAGTCAATTTGACATTACACAGTTTACTCACAACTTTTCCGTTTCCTTCTAATTCAAAATAATCCCACACCTTCTCGTCTTTCGCATGGTCATTTTTGAACTCTCCGCAACTGGCGCGAAGAAAACGCATGTGAGGTCTGAGGTACAAATGTAGTTTTCGCCAAGATACACTTTTCAAAATAATGTATTATTTTTCAAACGTTTTATTTTAACTTATTTAAAATGTTTTAAATGCAATGTTAAAATGACGGTAATTTGAATGATAAAATCATGTTTTTGTTTATTTTTTTCTGTCGTGTAATCGACTATTGTTTTCAGTGTCGACTAGTAGGAGCTGTACCGTTTAGTCGACTAGACCCGCACATCCCTACTTTTGACACATAAGTTATATTATATATATATATATATATATACACGTTATACTATAAACACTTTGTTTGTCCAAAAACATTTTATTGAAACCAACTTGCTAAAATAACTAATTTTCTACTTGCTTTACTTTTCTGCTTCAGAAACAGATCAACAGTGGCGTAGTTGTTTTAATGATGGTTTAGTTGCCTTTTTAAACACCAGCTGACCTTTAAAAATGAGAAAGAAAAGAGTCTTGGACATTAATCCCCGCACCCCACTAAATTAATGTTTAAATGAATCATCAAATAAATGAGGATTTATAGAATATGCTAAATAGATATGCATATGTGACGGATAATTTCCTGATTATAAATGAAGCCCACTATGAATAGAGGAATAACTGCATCTTTAAGCACAATAATTGCATTAACATTTTGTAATATACTATGTGATTCTACATTTGGTGTACATTTTCACTGTTGTCCATGGCAATGCTGTATCTCTTGATTCACTCATACAATCAATAAATTAAACTGACAATGTTTACAGCAGTCAGTGTACGTTCTCCAATTTTATAAAAACTTAATGACACATTTATGGATGATAATTCAGAAATGTGAACATGGCAGGATGATCATTCTTAATTTAACATGTGCATTTGTTTATTCAATCTTGCATGCGCTGCGTGTACGTGCATGTGTTGATTTTTGCTCATTGTTTTTAGCACATTACAGCGTGTTTTAGATAAGCATATGAAGGGATAGTGAAGCATATAATAAGACTAAGCACTACAGAAATGCACAATGCTATATCAGTGAGCCAACATGTAAAAATGCTATCAATAACTGAATCATGAATATTTTATCTGCCTTTCGGTACACACACACACAATTTAAGGCTTGTCAGTAAACATTATAAAATTGTTTACGTACAGTTTGTGATGGAGCTGCTGTCAGATCCAATTCAGCTGGCTCTTTCAACAGAAGTTTCTTTGCAAACTCTCCATTACACTGAATTTGTAAGAAATTGAACTGGCATCTGTACACTGTGTCCAGTGTAGACAGCGTCAGTGATTATAATGGGCTCTTGACACACTATTTTCCTAATCAATGCTGTACAGTTGCTTTGACATAATCCGTATTGTAAAAAGCACTATATAAATAAAGGTGACTTGATTTGACCAACAGAGGGGGCAAGTCACTGCCTTAATGAGTCAGTCATTCATTCAACCGATTCATTCAGAAACGAAGCATTCCTAAGGGCTCTTTCCTATTCCCCAATCCCTTCGAATTGTCTACCATCCAGAGTGAGAGCTCTGAAAGGATGAATGGTGTAGGGGACCAAAAAAACTGTTCCTTGGAACGCACTTCTGCATCTTCTAGCTGAGGCAGTTAAGGAGGGGCCATCATCACACAATTAAACCCATGTAAAGAATCATGGGCGCTAAGTGTCCATCAACTGTACCTTTCAAAATCCTTAATTCCGAAGGGCCCTTTCAAGAGGTACTCTCCTCTGAAAGGATGAATGGTGTAGGGGACCAAAAAAACTGTTCCTTGGAACGCACTTCTGCATCTTCTAGCTGAGGCAGTTAAGGAGGGGCCATCATCACACAATTAAACCCATGTAAAGAATCATGGGCGCTAAGTGTCCATCAACTGTACCTTTCAAAATCCTTAATTCCGAAGGGCCCTTTCAAGAGGCCGGTTTTGTGTACTTTGGTTTGGAATGACTCTTCATTATGATGGCCATGATTGTTCTCACTCCTGTTTGGGAAGCAGTGTCTGCCTTTATGAATTGGTAACATACCATATACCATAACACACATTTGATTTAGTGATTTAATGCTTTCCTTATTGCCAACCTTTGTGATTGGGATTTTTACAGTTTAGTATTAAGAGTTGTAGGACTATTTAAAAAGTCAGTTATTCATTTTGCTTTTGCCCACTGCTGTATATTGTTACAGGTTATTTATAAAGCACTGAGCATGTGTGCACTATAAATAATCAGTGTTTGAGCTGTCTCGCACAACCATGACACATGAATATTCTCCTTTCCATTGCTTATAGAAGTGACTACCAGTGCCATAAACACATGGTTTAAATCCTCCAAAATGGTTTTTGGACATTTTATTTGGAGATTGTCTTTTTCATGTGAATGTAACATGAAATATGTGAAAACTAAAACTAGTTTTTTTTTCTGGCTGTGCAGGGTCCATCTCTTAGACCATAACTTTCAAGGCAACTACCACTGAATATATCTTATACTAAGGTAAGCTGTTACAATTGTTGGCTGTTTTAATATTAATCCATAAAACATTTTAAGTTTTTTACGATACATATGCACTGGAGATACTTTGGAAGAAATCAACCTAAAAACTACTTATACATACAGTGGCCTAAATAACTATTTGGACAATAATGTCACATGAGTCTAATTGCATTAGACACCAAAATATCAGATGAAGGGATGTATATATGGGATGGGCTGATTTGCATATATTCATTTGCAAACAACAAAGCGATTTATATGTAGTGAATTGGAACAACACTGTCTTTCTTTGATTTATGTGAATATGAACTAGGTACAAATGCATCAAAAACATGCATTTATTCATAAAGTGAGTGATCAGTCAAATGAATATTTTTCTTGCAATGTGTTTAAACGACATAGGCTGTCAATTTACTACAGTTGCTGCACAGATGATAAAGTGACCCCTTGAACTGTTGCTGAACCAGATATGTATGATTGAACCATGATTTTTAGTAATACCATGTGTGGAACTACATTACCCATAATTCTGGTGAATTCCCAGAAGTGAAAATAAAGTATAGACCAGGGGTGTCCAAACCTGTTCCTGGAGAATTTAGCTCCAACCCTAATTAAACTCACCTGAACCAGCAAATCGAGGTCTGCAGACTCACTAGAAACTGTGCGGGACGCTGGCCCTCCAGGAGCAGGATTGGTAAAAGAGGTCACAAAGGCTGCGTCTGAAATGACATACTCTCTTGAGTAGGTACTTTTTTGATTAAGTAATTACTTAAGTAATAATGTAATTATGACTGCAAAAAGAGTATGTTCTAGAAACCTTTCTATTTTTCAACCTTCTTGTTTTCATATGTTTTTGTGTCTAAGCAACCGATTGAAATTGGTCCACTATTGACCACGGCTGCTGCAACTGTCCGCCACAAAACATGCTGCCAATTTCTTTGGGCATGTAAATGGTTTGGATCAGACATTATGGAAGGGATCCCTGTTTGTTAACGATAAGATACTTTTAAACAAAACGGCCAGTTATCACTCTCCTCAAACCCACCAGACTCCATTGACAAATACAGTGATATGTTGTCGCAAATGTATAGTGTAATATATATTGTCCATATCTCTGGCAGTCGTAGCATCGCAGTGGCACGCACACATAGGCTCTTACTGAACAGCTGACATAACCTACCATAACCCTGTTTGGTAACACTCCACTCTCACTGAAAGATTATCTCACTAAAATATTACCTTCTCTGTTTATCTGTAGGCATTTTGCTTTTACTACTTTCTGCTTGCTTTCAAATCTGTTACACCTAAAAGATAAATCACATACCATGTGTTCAACAAAACGTACAAGACTAGACCACACAATGAACATATGACAAGAGCACACAGCCACTGAAACGAGGTCAAAGGCCTTGTGCTCAAACAAAAACAGAACACAAGTGCACGTGAAACTGGCAAAGAACCCCCACCATACGCTCACAACGAAAGCAAAACATGGGGCATATATATATATATATATATATATATTATACACACACACACACAAAATTTTAATTCTACTTTTTTGCAAGTGCTATTGTTTAAAAAAATGGTTGCCGCTTTCTCAATGTTCAACTTTCAAATTTTATGCCATTTTAATGTATCTTCCTAAAAATGTTCCCTTGTTCCTGGTTTCCGGTACTTTTGTGATTATATTTAATAAAGTTTTAAAAAAAAGAGTCCAAGAAGACCTGACCTAAATTCAACAGTTATGGACTTGCTAGAGATGGGAGAATTTTCATGAAAGTAAGTATGTTAGTTAACATGGTTGTTCCGGACGTCCCAAGTTTTGTGGTCCTGGAGGTCCCAAGTCCGGTGGTCCCAAAGGTTCTTCCCTTTCATCCGATTGATGTATCCACCTTTGTGTCCTGCTCTGCCGGCTCCCCTGTGGTGGTCTTTGGCTCGGCTCGTCTCGACTGTGTTCAAGACCGTTTTCAAAAGTCAAGTTGCATTAGCGATATTATTGCATTTGTGTGCTCAATGGACATGAATAGGATCGACTACAATGCTCAGCGTTGGCAAATATCAGGTCTGTTTGATTAGGGGCGGAGCTAGACCCAGAATTTCCCATACCTGTTACAAACAACAAATGTTAATCATTCACATTTTTCGGGTTGTTTTTATGCAAAATAAATGTTTTTGCAAGATTCCATACATGAAAATCTGAGAAATTAAAAGAATATAATAATAAACAAAAATGACAGAAGGCTTCTGTAGTATTTTTCCATGTTGTAATAAGAAATGCTTATCTTCAAAGTAGGAGCTTCCCAGGCGCACTTGAAGGCAATTTAAGAAACCTGTGTGGACTAAGACCTGACTGACTTCATACATGCCGTGTGTAAAATAGCTGTTCGTGAATATAAAAGGTCTGCAGAGTTTTAAAGATCGAAGTGCACAATAAATAGTCATTTGTCGTCCCGTCCTCAAACACTTTAGTTTGTGGTTTGTGTTGTGATGCTGTTTTCTGCAGTGCAAAAGCAGATTTGCATGGTTTACAATTCCAAAGGATGAGTATGTGAAGAGTCAGTGGTTAAAATTAATTTTTACAATGAAACGCTAACCTTCCCGTCATTTTACTGACGACTGCTTCACATGGCTAACTCACATTACTGTCTTGAAATAGATCAGATAATCAGCGTGGGCCCACTCTTACCTAATATTGTGTCAGTTAATGCAGATTGTCTGTCATTCTTACTACTTTGAATAATGATAAAAGATTTTTTTGGTTTACAAACTAATGTTACATCAGTGCTTGGTTAACATATGTACCCTTATTGTTTGGGTAAGGGTTTATTATTTAGCTGTGGCATTCTGATGTAGTTCCCACACATGCACGTCAGTAAATTATAGATATACACATTGGTTTGTTGATGGACATACACTTGTTAATGCTGATGTATAGGAATCACAGTTACAACGTCTCAAAATGTACCACAATCCAAGACAAAACTTACCGCTGAGAAACGTCCTGCTCAAGCTGTCCTTGCAAAGGAGGTTTGGATTGATCAACTAGTCCTTCCAATGTTTCATCATCCGACACGGGCTGGAATTGATATGGTAAACAACGCCATTGTTGCTGTGCTTTACAGTGTTTACAATCGCTGAGGATTAAGGAAGCCTTCGGAGATGAAAGTCAGATATATAGTAATGGCCACTTTGTTTCCGATACACGCTGCATGCAGTAGACCAATCACAACAGACTGAGCCATCTGACCAATCAGAGTAGAGCAGATTTGTGGAAGGAGGTCTTTGGAGAGACTGAATCTTTTCAGATTATTTGAGAAACAAGGTGATGTGAAATGAGTATTATTTATTGTTTGGGTAAGGGTTTATTATTTAGCTGTGGCATTCTGATGTAGTTCCCACACATGCACGTCAGTAAATTATAGATATACACATTGGTTTGTTGATGGACACACTTGTTAATGCTGATGTATAGGAATCACAGTTACAACGTCTCAAAATGTACCACAATCCAAGACAAAACTTACCGCTGAGAAACGTCCTGCTCAAGCTGTCCTTGCAAAGGAGGTTTGGATTGATCAACTAGTCCTTCCAATGTTTCATCATCCGACACGGGCTGGAATTGATATGGTAAACAACGCCATTGTTGCTGTGCTTTACAGTGTTTACAATCGCTGAGGATTAAGGAAGCCTTCGGAGATGAAAGTCAGATATATAGTAATGGCCACTTTGTTTCCGATACACGCTGCATGCAGTAGACCAATCACAACAGACTGAGCCATCTGACCATCAGAGTAGAGCAGATTTGTGGAAGGAGGTCTTTGGAGAGACTGAATCTTTTCAGATTATTTGAGAAACAAGGTGATGTGAAATGAGTATTACGAGAAAATTAAAGTGTTTTTTTACCTTGGATGCACGTAAACCTATTGTAGGAGACCTCCAAAACAAAATTAGGAACCTTTAAAAAAAAAGCATAATAGGGGTGCTTTAAGTCAAAAATAGTATAAAAAATGGAAGAAGAAATCATTAATTTACAAATAATATTTGATATTATGCATTGACATCCACACTTAAAATGGGACTTAGGTGACCAAACACATTTTTGGGCCACTGTATGTGTCAGACCAAATTTTAAAAGCAAATTGTACAAAGACTAAGATTCACTCATTTCCGTTTTCTCTCTTTCTCAGATGTCATTATTTCATGCCGTGTTCCTGCTGCTCACTGGCCTGGGTGCGAGTTTGTCTCAAGATGAGAAGCCGACGGTCCCATTTGGCTGCAGATTTGGACCTCAACGACCATACACTCTCTTATGTGACCTGGATGCTATATGGGGCGTGGTGGTGGAGGTCGTAGCAGCGGCTGGTGTGTTAGCTGCCATTTTACTTTTGATAGTGTTACTGTGTCGCCTGCACTCAGTGACTGAGGCACCAAAGCGAAGTGGCATCGGTCCGATTCTCTTACTGTTAATGGGCATTATTGGGCTCTTTGGGCTTAGCTTTGCATACCTTATTGAGCATAATGAAAGCATTTGTGTGGTGCGACGTGCCCTCTGGGGTTTGTTTTTCTCACTCTGCTTTGCCTGCATGTTAACACAGGGCTTGAGGCTGCGCAGGCTTGCATGTGAGTCTCGTAGCCCAGGCGGGTGTGCCCTTGTTGGACTAGTGCTAGGGTTAACAGCAGTACAAGGTATTATTGCTGCAGAGTGGCTTCTTCTAACAGTACTGCGGGAGGGTAACCCGGCTTGCGAGTATCAGGCACTGGACTTTGCACTCGCTTGTGCCTATGTGGCAGCACTTCTGCTGGCTGCGCTAGTAACTGCAACATTAGCACTGTGTGGGAAGGCACGACAATGGCACTGTAATGTTGTGTGGCTTCTAGTCTCCTGCTTGCTGTCCATTCTCCTGTGGGTGGCTTGGGTTGGTTTCTACATCTATGGAAACAAAGTACTTGAGAAGTCTCCGGACTGGGATGATCCAGCATTGGCTGTGGCCCTGGTAGCACAGGGTTGGTTGTTATTGCTGTGCCATGCTGCTCCTGAAGCCCATGCCTGTCTTCGATCACCACATCAGCCTTCGGCTCCAGACTATTTTGACACATCTCAGAATTCATCACGCATGAGAGAGGCCAGCCTGGATGAGGACATCCCAATTTCACACAGGCAGTTTGTGGAGAACCAGGGATACGCGTTTGATGAAAATGCTGCAGGTACAATTAGGCACAAAGATCAATATATAATTTGACATATATTAAACAGATCCTAACATCCATCTTCTATGTTGTAGGGTTGAGAAGTGGTAACCATCATAATGGCAACACAGGGGCCAGACCCAGTGCACCCTTCAGAAGTAACGTCTACCAACCGACTGAGATGACCATGATACTAAATGGAGGAGCAGTGAGTACATAACTTCATATTTTTATAAATAGACCAAATAAATAAACCTTTAAAAACCTTATTGTGTCCTCAACACAGAAAAACAAAGTGCAGCTTCTCTTAGTAGGACAGTTTTGGCTGTCCCACATTTGGTTTTCGAACCTGCTGTTACTCCTGGATGAGCCACCTTGGGAAAAATTTGTTTTCCAAGGCTCAGGAATCATGTGGCATGCAATGATGACACTTTGAGTTTGGAAAACGAAGTCTCTAATATGAGTCTTTCGGCTGAGGTTGTGGATACCATTTTAAATGCAAGAGCAGCTTCTGCTAGGAATCTCATCTTAGGATCTCATCTTTTTGCATCTTGGTGCTGAAAGCACAATTTGGATCCAGTCCATTACCTTGTTGGTTCTTGGTTCTCGGTGCGTAAATTCACAGCCTGATGAACCTATAAAAGGAAACATTTCTAACCCTGGATGCCAAGAGTCTGAATAGCTCTGCCATACTGCATTGATTCCTTTGTGGAAAAATCTGAATGGCACGATGCATCCTTTTGAGGTATCGGAGACGCCATCTATACAGCCTTCAGACAACCGTCACACCTGGAGGATGTTCCCATAGCATCAGCAACTGACACAAAGTATCATTCCCTACTCATGAAACATCTCTGTTATGTTATGTACCCCTCGTTCCTTGAAGGAGGGAACGGAGACGTTACGTCGACACTGACGTTAGGGGTCTCACTTAGGAGCCCCTATCACCTCTGAGCACTACAAAAAATGGCCAATGACTATTGGCGAGTGGAATTTGCATGGCAAGCCACTATACGGGTATATATGATGGCGGTGTGCATCCACTCAATAAGGTTTGTGCTGAGGAGCGGAGAAAGCATCCCGGCATTCAGCGAAGTTCAGGGTTGTGACATGAGGGGTGTAACATCTCCGTTCACTCCTTCAGGGAATGAGGGTTACTTAACATAACTGTGACATTCTCTTTCAGTCAGTCATGTTCAACATTACGTCGACACTGATGTTAGGGGTCCCTATTGAAAGCGTGCCAGGACAGATGCACCTCAATCCGTAACCTGCCCAATGCCCTCTAAGCTAGGTAGTCAACCAACTGTAAAGAGCTTATTAAGGAAGACAAAAAAAGGGTGTTCCGACATTCTCACAATATTTGTTCCCGAAAGGGAGTAGTAGGATGTTTTGGGCAGGTTAATTGCTGCAAATTAATCCTGGTGCTGAACGCACAAATAATGCACTTCTGCGTCAACATCTTGAATGGAAGCCTGTGAAGGGACCGATTCAAGACTCGCAGATCTAGGATTGGTCGTAACCCACCTCTCTTCTTGAGGGACAGGCTCTATTGCATCCTTCGCCAAGAGGACTGCGATCTCTGCACATAGTGATAGACATCTTATTCTCCTCAGAAGCCCCAAATAAGACACTGGGTCTGTCACAAGACGGACTGGCACCTTTGTCCAGGAGCTCAGTGGCTCTAAGCAGGACTTCTGTGTTGGCTGAACATTCCTGAGAGTGATCCTCAGGTCACCCTTGTCTCTAACCAATGCAGCCCCGAGGTCTTTACAACCAGAGGAACCAGACTGGGTAGAATTCAAGGGGAGCCTCATAATAAATTCAGCATAACCATGGACATGCGCTCGCGATGCAAGCATGGCCCATTCACTAAAGCCGTCTTCAGTGTGCTTATGGCCCAGACACGCGAGACAGCGATCGTGCCCGTCATCAGAGGTAAGGAAACTACTGCACCCAGAAGCATACGGTTGGAAAGACATCTCGAAAGACACTCATGACCATGCAAGCTGTACAGAAAACTGCTCTTTAGGCTCGAGCACCCAGGGATAGAACACAGCACTTATCTGTGCCATCACAGGGGCAAACACACCGCTGAATGCTCCGTCTGGAGACACAGTCGAGAAGTTCCTGCAGACAAGTGTTCTTGAAGTTTTTTTTCTTGTAGTTCTTTTCTGGAAGAAAAAGCACCCACGAAGTGATCGGCTCTGAAGCAAAAATCTGAATAAGTGGATGTACGTTGCCATCTCATATACCCATATGTACAGGGAGTGGCTTGGCATGCAAATTCCACTCGCCCGTAGTCATTGGCTGTTTCTTGCAGTCCTCAGAGGTAATTGGAGCTCCCAAGTGAGCGCCTTAACATCAGTGTCGACATAATGTCGGACGTGAGTGAAAGGGAACCATGGTTCAATATGTAACCAAGAAGTTTTAATGTGCAAATGTAACATGTAACAAAATATTATTCAGAAAATATATTATTATTCAGAAATATTATATTTTATACCTTATGGGAAATCTATACCAGAAGAAAAAGCACCCACGAAGTGATCGGCTCTGAAGCAAAAATCTGAATAAGTGGATGTACGTTGCCATCTCATATACCCATATGTACAGGGAGTGGCTTGGCATGCAAATTCCACTCGCCCGTAGTCATTGGCTGTTTCTTGCAGTCCTCAGAGGTAATTGGAGCTCCCAAGTGAGCGCCTTAACATCAGTGTCGACATAATGTCGGACGTGAGTGAAAGGGAACCATGGTTCAATATGTAACCAAGAAGTTTTAATGTGCAAATGTAACATGTAACAAAATATTATTCAGAAAATATATTATTATTCAGAAATATTATATTTTATACCTTATGGGAAAGCACATTATAATCTGATGCAAATATTTTGTGCAATGTAGTTTTCAGTTTGCTTGAAATTGCTTAAGTCCCTTAAATTAGAGATTTTGCAGTGTCCATTCTAAAATGCTGGGTACATTTTTATGGTCTGAATTATTTTTATGATTTCAATTCAGATATATACATTTTAGGTTAACCTGCACCTGAAAACATCATCCTAATATATGTGGTTGGCCAGACAAGGCTGCCACTGAAACTATGAATCAAAGGGGTGAAATTGTCAATTATATATTATATTACCTGTCAAATTAAACTATAAAAGCAATTCTTATATAACATAGTTGCTATGACCCTACTATGTGACTGTCCACTAATAATGAATTGTTTGACACAAAAGGTTAAATTATGAAATTATGAATCCTTTTAAGGTATATATTTTTTATCTGCACAGGTTGGAGCTTTGCATAATCTTCAAGTCAGATTTATGATAAAGAAGCTCCTTTACTTGGTGACTATCCTGAGAATATCGCATCAATATCACAAAAAAAGAAAGAAATTTTGGTCATACCATTGATTTTACAAACTTTTTTTTTTCCAATGCACGAATGGTGTTTCCCTTAAACATTTGGTTCTTGAGTGATGTAATATGGAGGAGAGTAAATGTCTCTTTGGTGGGGGGAGGAAATTGTTTTCTCTGCCTTGACCCAACTATAAATAGAACAAAACCTGCCAACAATGCAACACTGCAGCCAAAGCCTTGTCAAAAGCTGAGTTAACATTTATCCAAACAAGAGCAATATTTCTGCTCCAAGAGAACGAGGCAATGTGCAAATGTGAATGTAGAACCAGTTCAAAAGCCAAACCAGACATCACCAATTACCACAGTGGTATTTCAGCCGCGCACTCCACTTCACTTCAGTGCGAAATAAACTACGTGCATGCAATGTCGTGGTCAGTTAAGTCATGAAGTTACCAAAAAGGCGATTAAAGCTGCCTTAAAACATGCATGCATGTAATACATTTTATGAGTCACATTTAAGAACATGTCTCTGAAATGGTTTTCAAAACTGTCCTGGAGCCCAGCACTGTCTCACTCATCTACACACCCGATTCAACTTGCCAGCTCATTAATAGAGACTTTAAGACCTGAAGTGGGTCAGAAAAGGTAAAAAGATTTGAGAGAAAAATAATGCGTGTCAGATCCACGTCACGTTGAGCAGCGGCAGCTCTTAAAGAAATAACACATCACAGCAGCTGGTTGTTTTGGCTATTAATCAAAGGACAAAGAAAAAAAAAGAGCTTTAAGGATTCATCTATATTTAATTCAGAATTTACGGTTTGATAATTTCAATTTCTGTCTTTCTGCTGAAGGGCACAGGTAAATACAGTATGACATTTATTATAATGGGTTTATGTGAAGATTTTTTAAAGTTTGCTTAAATTAGAAGTTATTTTTTCAAGTCTAATGTTAGAATTGATAGCTCTCAATTATACTGTAATGTTGAATGGCTAGTCAATGGTTAAATATGGGGAGGGGGGGCAATTTTATAGAGAAATCAGTATAGGTATCATTGATACTGGCCTTCAGTCATTATAAAAAAGATGCCATTTAAACAAATATTTGAATTGTATCATAAATCACACCATATTCATTCATTGAGGCCAGAAGAGAGCTGGTCCCGTTACTAAACCTGGTTTCTCCCAAGGTTTTTTTCTGTCACTTGATGGAGTTTGGGTTCCCTGCCACCGTCACATTTGGCTTGCTTGGTTGGGGTATATAAGACACTTAATATTCAGTAATCTTTTCAGTTTGACTGCTCTTGACACGATCAGATGAGAACAAAATGTGAACTGAATTGAGCTACTGTCACCATTGCCTTCTGGGCAGTGTGTTTGTGTACAGCGATAACAGGGATAGTCCTCTATGGAGAGGTGGAAGTATTTGATGTCTTTAACCAGGTCTTTATTTGGGAAGGTGTCCATTACTTTGTCCCTGTTTGCAGTAGTTTTATGAAGCCTGAGCTTTGAGACGGCTAGCATCTGTTGTGCCATTTTAAGTACATTGATCAACTCTTCCTCTGTAGATAATCCCTTAAAGTCATTTCCTACAGAGGAAGAGCTGATCAATGAGTTTCCACACCCTCTTTAGTCGAATCATTGTCACCATGCCACAGAAAGTGTTAAACAGTCTTCACAGACCAAGAAGCAGTGAAACGTCTGCTGTATGTCAGCTGTAACAGCGACAGTATCCTTTTGAAATCTTCATGAGGACACCTAACAGGATATTGTTAAGGTCAGGGCCAGGCAGCAGTCCATTATTAGCCGTTTTCCACTATCGGGCCGAACGGTTCTCTTTGCAGCACGGATACGGTTTCATCTTCCACTGTGGTGCCGATAACGGAGCTCTTTGGAATGTAATACAAATGCGTCAGTCGTTGCCTTAGTAACGCAAGTATAATGTAAACAGCAATATGGACGATGATCAGATATTTTAGATATATGGGACTCCTTTTCTTAATCTGATATTCACTTCGTTAAATAAAGGACACAACTCTTGACGTGAAAAATAAAATAAATGGAAGGCTACGACGGGAATACCAACAAATGCTGACGGGACTTTCCTGATCAAAAGTGTAAGTGAATGTAAACGCTAGCAACTCGTAAACATCGGTTTGAAACCGGTAAATAGTTGTTTACATAAATGCGTAAGCATGAATAGCTACTTGTTACTTACCCTCCACGATCAAGCACACCGTCATTTCGCATGGTTGGGCTGCATTCTAAAACTGTCCAAAGCATCGTAGTATCTGTCAGTTTTATTTGGCAGCCCCGCGCTTCTGCTACTATTGTCCTTTTGGACGTGATATGTATACTTTTTTAAAATGCCCTTCTCTGCTAGAAGACTGCACTATGATTTTAAAAACTTAAAAATTTCTCTTTGTACCCTCCAGCTGCCACTGTAGACCAGTATAGATTTGGTGTTGGGGTTGTTTGCTTACAGTGTTGGTTTCATTGCAGAGCGTAGTTCATCTTAACATGGTATCAAGCCTGAACCCTCAGTAACCAACCACTAGGGCTGGGTGATATAGCTAATATTTATATAAAAAAATTTCTGCATTTGGACAATATACTAAAATCTATCTATTTCTTTTTCTTTAAGCAGAAGTCTGTGTATTTAACCCAAAGAACAAAGGCCTAAAATATAAAAAATGCTTGAAGTCCAATACAGTAAAACAGACAGTTCTTGCACTTTAATAGGTGAGTTTCAAAGCAATAAGAGGTTAGGAGAACTGTGGATATTAATTGTTAAAGGGGTCATGACATACGTCAGCATATCTGTCTCTGTCCATTTGAATGGATTGCTCATTTTGATGCTGCTTCTCCTTATAGACTTGGTTAACATCTTTGCATGCACCTCAACATGATG